GTGCTGGTTGCTACAGGATTGAAGTGGGGGGGGAATTAGCGCTGTTCGCGGCCGCCGGTGTGCGGGCCAATCAGGAGTTGCCAGGTCTCGCTTAATTGACCTGGCAACTGCTGATTGGCTGCACGACAGGTCCCTGCTTGATTGCGCAGATCTAACCTCTCACTACTTACTCTTATCTAACACACCCCCTTTAGCTTAGAAACTCTTTAAGCTAACTGTTTATGTGTGTGTAAGGTCCTTAATTTATTCTTAAATCCTGTCTAGAGGCACGCTGTTTAGCACTTCTATTAACTCCCTATTCACTAGACTAAGTTGCTAGAGGAAACCTTCCTACTTGTTCACTAGGAGTACCTTTGTAAGTCTATCTGCTATTATGCTTGCAGACTAGATGTGTTCTATAATAATATTTCTAGCAGCTACATCCTATTAGAGCTAGTAGTTGTAGATATCTACATGCTAAAGTTTAGTATGTAGTTGTAACACTTCCTTAGTAACTAGTTAAATTATTTATTTATTATTATATTATATTATAATAGCCTATGCGCCTATATTAATATGTAGTTTGCGCAAGAGCCTTAAGATAAAAAGTACTTCTTTTGTAACCTAGGTAAGATTAAGAAGCTTAGCCTTAGTTATTAATGTTGTTACTATGTCCTACTTATTTGCTTTCTATGTAATAAGGCTGCTAAAGAGTTTAATTGTGTAGCCTTAGGAGCTCTTTCTGTCTATAGTGTTGTTAGCAAAGGACATGTTACTTGCTACCTAGAGGCTAATGCCTCCTCTAAGCTGCAGTGATCGCTGTTTAGTGTTGAGTAGATATAGAAGGACCCAGTCCGCAGCATCTTAGTGGCTGATGCCTGGATTGGTGAGGAACCTAGCAAGCCTTAATGTGGCGAACGCAATGTCAGGTCGCGTGGTGACCGCAGCGAACAGCAGTGATCCAATTTTGCGTTAATACTTGTTAATTTCTGCTGGCGCTGCTAGTCCACTCCTTAGCTGTAGTTTAGTTATTGCTATTAGAGTGTTATGTCGTATAGTTGTGTTCTTAGCAAGGCGACTAATTTTGTCTAAGTATGCTGCCTAAGATAGGTAGATTTTCTTGCTTGCTTAGTCTTATATAATCTCTATGCTAAGGAACTACTATAGGTTGTACCCTCCTATGCAGGTGTACTTACTCTATATGTGGCTAATTATCTGTATTACCTCTTACTCTTTTAATTTATTATACATAACCTGTTTTATCAGTGAGCGCCCCACCTCAGTGAGCGCCCCACAAACACCAGCGAGGCGTACGCGCAGCGACGTAGCTTAGCACCACAACACAAATTTTGTACTCTTGCAACAGTATAGTATTATTTAGAAGCGTCGCT